ATCTGGTAACTACAATTTAATTTTGGGTACCAAATACTTGGATTTGCCCGATTAATTTCGCAAATGCGCCGTAATGTATGGTGTGATTATATGGGAGGTGACTATATGGAGGGACGACTGTATAGCATTTAGGCCCTTTCTATTGCAAAGCCCCTAATTATTTTAAACCCGGTCTGTAGCATTTTTCATACGTTATCAGAAGCTTTAATACATACGAGCACTGTCAAGGGAAAAGTGCCACTTTAGATCTTTTTTGATCAAAGATAACTACTTTATCAACTTTGATAAAAGTTTTCTTATTTGAATTTTACAGATTGTAGAATTCAAATAAAAAAATTTTTTATCAAATTTGATCAAGTAGTTGAGATATCTTGATCAAAAAAATTTTAATAAGGCCTATATACAGCTGTACAGTATTAGTAAACTTTTTCATTCAATTGGCCAATCAGAAGAAAGTTAGCCTATAGACCTTAAAAATATAAGTACTTGAGACCATATTCTTGGAAGTTAGAAGTTAGAATTCGTCCTTACTCGATTGAACATTTTCTATTTAACGATGGCCAATCCAAATGTAAGGACTACACCTAGACTTAAAGTTTCTTTAACTGACACTTCACCTCATAAGAAATTGAATGAAAACGAAACCAAGCCGCCGCCGCCGCCGGGCGTAAAGTTAGAACAATGGAAACGGTTGCAAGAATTAAAGAGACGACGAGAAGAAGTTCAAAATGGTGGTGGTAAAAAGAAAAATAAGCAAGACGATCGCTCGTCCACAAACTGTCGAGAAGAGCTGGAGGAAAAATCAGGTCGAAAATATTCGGATTCATCCTCTGCACCAGATCAAACTACTTCGCAATCGTCAACACACCATTTAGATCAGACAATTTCTCCAATAATACCGAAAGGTCTAATAAAATACGTAAACATGAATTCGCATTTGAAAGGAGTAGATCATGGCCGCCTAGCTCCAAAAGTAACTAAAATATGTTTTTGCTACATTATAATGTACAGCATTATTAACATATTTTAATTGTGAAGGGTCGATTGGAGAAAGAACTTGATAAAGCTGTAGAGAGTGGGGAATTAGAACTAGCTTCAAAAATAAGCGATCAAATTGCACAAAGAAATTATGAAAATACGATGCGAGAAGCAATAGAACGTAAAGAGTACGATGAGAGAAAAAAAGTAAAGTATTAAATTATAAAAAGTCTTTAATCAAATTATTGCAAATTGTTTTATACATTTCTAAATAATCATGTTTACAGCGTGAAGAAGAATTGAAAGCAAAAAAGAAAAAACCCAAATTGAAATGGGGGTATGCACCATCCTTTTGTTAAATGGTTTAGACAATACAATTTATTGAATGAATGATTTTTACGATTTAGATTTGAGTCAAAGCATCGTTGGGAGACCAAGAGCAATATGTAAAAAAACCAGTAATATATATATATATATATATATATATGTATATGACTCATGGAACCATTCCAGAATAACAATAACTGTGAACTTAATTAATCCAGGTATACTATTTAATTCATAGATTTGAAATTCTATTGTATACAATAAAAAAAAAAAAAAAAAACTAAATCTATTTCAAAATTATATAGCATCTTCGAAAATATTGGATTAAAGTGGCCTCTTAGAAAAGCACCTTTCGAAATCACACTAATGATTTAGATCTTAGTTCAAAAATCATATAATAATAATACATCAGTTGTTTTAAACCTAGTTTTTTATCATGTGATTGTAAATTTACCTCGTTTATTATTCGTTTAAAACCACGTGCGGTACATATTGATATTCAGTCAATGAACAATTCTTTTCCAAGTTTGGTTGTATATCGTCAGCTTTGCCATTTGCATTGGTGGCTTTATCATCGCTAGCCTCTCCGAAAGGCTTTATTTCTGCATCCGTGTTTTGATCAACTACAATACGCATGAATCCACGATACATTTCCACTCGTGCGTTATGAATCAAGACGCATGTTTGCGGTTGGAGGTGCGATATTTGGTCTAATAATGAAGTAGATAGAAATGGTTTTAATTTATATGAGAATATTTAGTGTAAGCAATTGATATATACCGTTAATGGCTTTTACAATTATGCATCCGGAAGAATCACCAACAAGAAATTCGGCTACTTTGATTTTCGACAAGGCTTAATTTATCGTGATAAAACTCAGCCAAGAAAGTTCATTTGGACATATACTCTTCTCAATTGGATATTAGGCGATAAAACACACTAACTTGATTTATTACCGTCATCCACTTCACCAAACATGATTTGTGCAATGACTTTTACACGAAGGTTTACTTGATGTTGATCTGGCGATAATGTTGCTACCTCCATGTCTTTATATCTCAATAAATACATAAAAAGAATTAGCAAACAAAGAAAGGCTAACAAAATTAAATATTTGGGAATCTCTTACAAGCTTTGACTGACTTTGGTGACATTTTAGATTAACATCAATATTGGAGGAAAATTAGTTTTGTAATTGAAGAAATGCAAGTAATTTTTAATTAATTCTCAACTTGAGCTCCTATTGGACAATGAGTTGCCCTTTAGGGAATAGATTAACACTGAAATTAGATCTCGTTAGACAATGGTTTTAAGTGTTACGATAACTGTAAACCCAAATTTGTTCTAATTGGTTTTCTGTTTTATGTCTATC